GAGAGAGAGAGAGAAATTCCTGGAAACCCTTAGGAAAACCTTTCTGCAAGGATGCCCTACTTTCTGCGACCTCTGTGAAATGTCAACATACTAGATTTTACAGTCAGCTACTCACCTATCTCTTACAACAGAGCTTTAGTAGTACGTTTAACTTATTATTACCTGGTTTAAACTTCGAAGCTCTAACAACAAGAGTTCCGAGATCTCATACCTCCATGAAATATGGACTTGATATGTAAATGTAAATTTCTTCTTTAATTACGCAAATGACCTCTTCTTTAACATAATATATGCATCATGACGTTAACTTTTGATTAACTTACAGATGTCCCAAGTATGACATTCCCATCATTCACCATTAAGAAATCATAGAATTTTCGCATTAATTATGCAAATTAGGTCATTATTTGCATAATTAGTATCTGTTGATGTTCCATCTGCCATAGGTTACATTCATTACATCTATGAAAGTACTATAATGTAAAACACTGTAATTATAGAATTTCCTCATTAATTATGCAAATAAAGTCCTCATTTACATAATTTACATTTAATTATGCACATCTCTCTCTCAGCTACCTACCTACCAAAATGATGAAAATACGTTGTTCCTATCTGGACTTATTGGCTTTTAAAGATTTCGTCCGAAGGTCCCCTGCAGTTCCAGAACAAGCTGCTAGGGGGACCAAACTCACACCACTTATTCCTGACAGGAAAAGGTATCTGTCACCAAAAATTCAAGACCATAGCATGTTCAGGACAAAAGATACAAAAACCGGAAGTTCTGCTGCAGTACCAAGATCCCAAGGTCATCCACCAGGAAGCCCATATTTGACCTTGACCTTCGTCTTCCTAAGACTTACCAGCATACCAAATATCATCACAATCCATAAAGGCGTTTTGAAGTTATGCTGACTACAAATGTGCGGAAACACAAACACAGACACACAGACAGACAGACACACACACAGACAGACGCGCCAAAAACAATACCTCCATTTTTCATGGAGGTAAAAACATTTCCAGGTTCAGAAATCTGAATTATCCCCCTCCACTTACGTTTGTACTAATAAACAATAGACTTGCAAAGCTCGAATACGACAAAATGAGGTTTAATCTCACTACAGTTCATATGTATTTTATGTTTTCATTAACAGACTACCTGCCATCAAGCTGCACTGAAGTGGCCGGCAGAGGTGGAATTCATAACCGGTCACTCCACGTCATTGACCCTGACGGACCAGGACGTGGGGTTCTGCCGATGGTTGTTCAGTGTGACCTTCAGGGACAAACAGGTTAGTAAAAACAAAGTGTTGGGAAAAGGCAAATGTAACTTCGCTGAGAAGGTTATGTTTTCAGAGGCGTTCGTGTGCGTGTGTGTGTGTGTGTGTGTGTGTATGTGTGTGTGTGTGTGTGTGTGTGTGTGTGTGTGTGTGTGTGTATCTGTAGGCACGATAACTTGAGAAGGCCTTGATGGATTGTCTTGATATTTGGAAGGTGGGTAGGTCTTTGTGAGACCTCAAAATGATTAGATTTTGGGCCCCCTAGCGGCTTGTTATGGTACTGCAGCTAAACTTCCGGTTTTGCTATCTCATGATCTGGACATGCTTGGATGAAGTGATATGAGTTTGAGCTACTTGCTCTGGAAATGCAGGGCCGTTTATTAAAAAATGCTTAAAGGAGGATAACTCTAGAACCGATTGATGGATGGTCATGATTTTTGGTATGTAGCGTAAGTGATGCTTGACATAATGATATTACAATTATGCAAATATGATGTAATTTGCATAATTTATGAGGAAACTCTATAAATTAGCTGCATTCCATGATAGGACCATTTAAGTTGTCACATATGTAATTACGAACGAGAGAAACACAGGCAGATATCGATTATGTAAATAACGATGTCATCTGCATAATTTTATGAGAAAATGCTATAATGGCATTCTTCGTAAAGATAAGACTGTCCTTTGGTGTAGAATATGATCAACAGATATAAAATCTCGTGGATTTGAGGCTTCTAGCTTAAATGGTAACGTTCATACTAGAAAGATAATATCTAACAATACCCTTAGTCTGAACGCTTCATTGCAATTTCAGCAATTACACTAATTGGCCACGATAGTGAGGCCCGGACACATGTGAATGGGTTTGAGGATCCAGGTAGCTACTCCAAGGATGTGACATACTGGAACAGCATGGAGCAAATGAGAGCTTTGGTGGACCAGTCAAGTCTCTGCAAGCAGCTTATTAAGGTAAGTGTTTTTTTATAATATTTCAGGTTAGCCTGAGATCCTGTTATGTTTATCCTACGTAGCCTTCTGTCAGTCATACCTGTACTCCTGCGTTCTATGAAAAACTTTATGATTCATTGGGGCCAGACACCCATGCGTCTGAATGGTAAAACCCGGCATATTCTTTCACAACAGTCCAAACCATAAATCGTAGGCCGTCCAAATATTATTTCGACATTCAAAAACAGAGATACAATGAAAAACATGATCCCTATTATCTGGACCCTAATAGTAAGTCGTATATTTAGACTCAAAGAAATGGGTCCGGCCCACCGCTAGTTACATCTGCAAACACACAAACATCGACCAATAACAAAACCCTTCTCCTTCCCAGCTCGAGGTAATAATTGTACATAAACAACTTAAGACATTACATTTTACCGTAAAGTGATTCTTATGTTGCGATATGTATCGATATTGCATTGTTCTTGGTGATATTCAGGTGATAATTGAACAAATACACATTTCCAGTATGAATGCTATGGTTCATTGATCTGGGGCACGACCGGAAGACCCTACTCCTGGTGGGTGACTTGGGACGGTCGCCAGGCTGACTACTGGGGAGGTGCCAGTCCTGGGAGTGAGAAATGTGCCTGTGGAGAAACAGGTAATTATAACTCATATAAGGATTGAAACTGTTCAAACAGTTTGGGATAGCATAGCATGATAGAAAATTTTATATGTGACAATCTTTGATGCCAAAGATAGTGGCAGAGACTATTTTTTGTTTCCTAAAATGATATTTTACTGTTGAATTGGTACACACGAATTTAAGTCTTCAAATATTTTCCTTGTTCTTTCCGTCCACAACAGGCTCATGCTCTGGTAGATGTAACTGTGGTGCCAATGATCAAACATGGCGTGAGGATTCTGGGTTCCTGTCCCACAAGAATGACCTGCCGGTCACCCAGCTCAGGTTTGGGGATACTACTGACAATAACGGAAATGAAGAAGGCTATTACACCCTTGGGAAACTCATCTGCTACCCATGAATCTATATGTTAACAACTGCCTGTAAAAAAAGTAAATCAGTACAGCAATGTAACAGTGCATTGTAGAAGTAACATAAATGACATAAACCGATGGGGTGGGCTTAAATTGTTCCTACACCATATTTTCGAGGGATCATAGTGTCAGCATATACAGTTGGCTTGAGGTCTGTCTCTCCCAGTAACTAACATAAATCAATTCATCACATATTTGGTATAACATTCTATGTGGGGGGTTAGGCATTAGATTATAATGCAGCCGATGATAAAGAGATTCTTTATTGACTCAAGAAAAGTGCAGGGACTTCTACAACTAAAGATCTAACAAAACTAAATACATCTATGAACTAGAAAGGCCAACATTTGCTTCGGAGCAAATGTAATATTTCACTCCATCTCCCTCCCCATACAAAAATAGAAGATTCTGAATAAATCATACTGCAATCATACAAGGACAAGCTTTTTGAATCTCGACAGATATTTACAAAAATGGCACTTGGCCATTATCTCCCTTTTTTTTACAAAGATACAACGACAAGCACTTTAAATCTCGACAGCTTTACTTTACACTTATCTCAATTTCAAAGTTACATATTGCAGGTATCTAAATACTACTAATGACGAAATTGCAACTACTACTAACGGTAGCAAAATTTTCACGGTCTGAGAAACATGGACATGTTCACGGAACTATATATTCACGGTGGTGACAGTTGCAGGAAAAAGAAAGTCCAGGAATTATTTCCTAACTGTAAAGATAAGTTCACGGTACAGAGGTGACAGTGAAAACCGTGAACATTGACCTCCTGCTTGCGTTACGTTGCGGTACAGTGAAAAAATCGGGAATTACAGTAATCAATTTACAGAGTATGTTTGCTTAGTTTCCAGATGTTTTGTATGAATGTCGTAAACTTAGTTTTAAATTAACGAAAACCGATGCGCGCACAGATGCCATCCATACAATCAAATCAACATGGCCTTATTAACAATCACATAAACTATGAAGCCATACATTGAATAAGCTATACATATAATATGATTATCATAACCTTTATTTTAAAATCATGCCAGTGAGCTAATTGCATGTACAGAGTAGAAAGAAAGTAAAGTAAAGTAAAGCAGTAGAATTTCTGTACTAAGCTATGATAGTACTCCATATGATTCGTCCTCATCGTCATCATTCAATGTGGTCTATCTCTTGCTACTAGTGACTGGTAATACCTCTGTAGATTCTTCACACTGGCAGAGTACCGTACTCATTCTCTCTTGTCAGCTCCATACTTTTGTGACAACATCAAAGTGATTTTGGTTTGTATGTTGGAAAAATACAAAAGACTAACATTCTAAGTTATTGACATTCTTGAGTAAGAACAATCAGTTTTTGAATGTTAAAAGCAAAACAACGAAAATCAAAAAAAAATGTTGAAATTGTTAAAATGCAGGATTGTTAAAATTGTTAAAACTGATAAAATTGTTAAAACTGATAAAATTGTTAAAAATGATAAAATTGTTTAAAATGTTAATATCTGATGCACTGGGGTTCGAACTCACAATTTCTGGGATTGCCGTCTGGCGCGTTACCAACCTAACTAACTCGTTGCGATACACATCACTCACTGCATTGTATGTCATATAAAGTAAACAGCATGGCGGTATCGATCGCCTCAAGCCACCAAGACTTTCAACTATTAACTACGGGGTTTCCTTCTTTATCAGGTTTGCTTTTGAACCACCTTGATGTTACTTAACTATCAACCCGGCTAGCAGAAGCCGCCGGCTCCTTTGATATTACAGCCGCTCCCTGTCCAATCTTGTTTACACGCCGGGCGCAGGTCATTGACCTCCAACTTGCGTTGTTCCAACAGAGAAGAGCAAAATGTCTGGCTCCCGCAGAACGTACCGCACTCTCCCGCTGGACGTACCTATATATATATATATATATATATATATATATATATATATATATATATATATATATATATAT